TTCTTTAAGGATCGATGTTTGAATTTAAAAGTATACCAATCTAATTAACGTCTGTGATCGTTTCGTGACGAAACACGTGTGAAACCGTATCGTCACCAGTTTCGAGCTGATACACCAAACGCTTTCCAACAAGCTCGAGTTTCGCGTGTTTCGCAAGAATCGGTCAATCAGCATCCACGGTATCGATCGCGACACGGCTGCAGAATGTTAAATGTTTTAAGCACGAGCGGAGGCTTGATTTAAACGGGCAATAAGATATTAATTGGAGGCTGGATTTCGATAATTCGTACGAGCACGATTTACATAAACAGGGAGGGACAAGCTAGAATATCGGGGAGACGTTCTGGACGTTCAACCAGATGTTGTGCTCAGCTTGCGGTTAAATTATTAGGACGAAAATTCGAATTCTATGAATGGCTATTCAACGAGACCCGTTCGACAGATCGATCCGTGGAATTTCCGCCGCGGGATACGAGCTCGACAAGGCACGGGGGCAATCGTTCAACGTACAATTTAATCTTAAGCGGTTCTTTTCTCGACCATTATGAAATGCTAAAATGTTACCACCATGTATCGAGTCGACTTTGATGTTTTATGCCAAACAGAAAGTTTTCAAAGGGAAAATCAATTCGATTCTCGATTTAATGGTAACGAAATAACATTGACAAGTCGTTCGTTACCGTGAATATAATTAAATAATGCTTCCTTGAACGGAGTAAATACGATATTCAGACTTACGGTAATCGGATTTATTTATCATTACCTTGTATAATTAAAATTTATAGAAGGAAATACAGTTTTTAAAATTTATTCAAATGATTCACCTTTTTTTTTTTTCTATTTTCGGAATGGAATATATAACAGATACGAGTTGAATCGAATCTTTTCGTTACTCGAACTCATTGAGTATTGTCGTTCGCAGCATTCCCTGCCAATAACAACGCGAACGATTACGATCGTGAGAAAAATCGGATTTGATAACAATAGCGCGCGATACACTTTCACGACAAAGGTTAATCCGCCACGTAATCTGGCGGACATCGGCGCCATATTGTATCGCGATTAATAAATTACTCTCGTACGCAGCCGCGCACAACGGTTTTTCTCAACAAGCGTGGATCGAGCAACTCGGTCGAATTGAGATATTAATTCTCGAGATGGTTGGCATTTAGCGCGGGAAAATGGGTAATCTTTAAAAGGTATCGCGCTATTATTCCTCCCGAGTAATTAAAATATAAAGCCGTCACGGGTGGGAGAAAAGCGCGTCGAGTGGACGAAAAGTCTGTAAAACGTGGGTATTATTCCCACTGTAAAATAGCATGACGTATGGACGTGCGTTCGTACAAATGAAACGCCATTCAAATTACACTTTGAAACGACAACGGCCTCTGGTAAGTGTCTTTAAGGAGACTGCAAAGAGATCGTTACTTCCACCGTATAATTTGCCGGTTACGCAAACAAGCGTAACTACTTGGAAATCTTGTCATCGCTGACTGTATAAATCACTGCGATTGCGTGCCACGCGCGTTTCCCTCTACGTCGAAAAATGCATGGATTCGCGTGGAAACAAGGAAAAATGAAATATTTTATATATATATATATACACGCGTGCAATCTTTTTTCCGTTCTATTCCTTCGACAATTCGATGAAAATTTTTTTAAACGAGCTGAAATCGATACAACACAGGTCTTTGTATTTTTATAATTATCGATCTCTTTTGAAATGGATCGTCGTTTTCTCCTCTCACGTACGCTATCAATATTTATTAACTTTATTTCTTACAATACTTAGCTAAAATGAAGATCGAGATTATCGAATCTCTTGTTGACGATACGAATAATTCATACTCGTACCGTAAAAGATCAATAATTTACTAAAAGAAATTTGCGGAATTATTTCAGTCCAGGTCGAGAATAATAACAATAATAAGAAAAAAAAAGCAAAGCAAACTAAACTAGAAAACTCACCGATCTCCACGCAAAGAATAATCGCTTTCCTTTCCACGGAAATCGACGACGATTGAAAAAGTGAAGGTAAAACGACTCGGCCAATAAAGAATCGCGCGTTATACCTCGACGAGGTTATCTGCTCGTCTGCACTTTGCCGTCTCTCGTAGATTTCCTCGAGGTGTGCGCGACTCGTTCTCGTCGCGTGTGCGCTTATTCCATTCGAGCGCCGAAGTGAAAGTTCCCTTCTGCTAACGTATCTACCTCGTACCCTATTCCTCTCTTTCTCTTTCTTTCTCGATTGTCTCGTCATCGAGACGCGAACAAGGAAACAAGAACCGAAGGAAGAGAGAGAGAATGGAAAACGGCGTCGTTGATCCTGAACGATCTCCCGATCCAGTCTCCGCCGAGACAAATTCTCACGGTACGCTCGCGCGCGCAACAGCCATTATGCAGGTTAATAACGGCCGGCTTCGCATCGTTCGCGATATAAATTAACGCCTGACCCGGACCGAACGATCCTCCTCGATCTTTTACGCGCTCCATAACCGTGTCCTCGATCGCTCGAAGGATTACGCCTTACGTGCGATGATAGTCTTATGCTCGCGGCTGTTGGACGGATGATGACGATGTATCGGTGTGGAAATCGAACAGCACCCGACTTTTGAAGGGATCCTGTTCGTGTTCCTTTCATTTTTACGTGTTGTGAGATTTACGTTTTTTATCTCATCTCTTATCGATGCATTCCTTCGGTATCTAATATAATGTTGTTTCTCCATCCATGAAAGAGGGAAGGAAAGTCGTGGCGTGTCATATGCGCGATTGAATTAATCATCGACTTTCTCCGTTTAATTTAATCCGAAGGTGTTCTTTCTTTTTTTTTTTTAGGTACAGGTGTAAAACGCATCAACAATGGACGTAAATATGATTGAGACAGGTGGATGATCATGAATAAAGATGAGCAATATGCGTCTTGAAACGAAACGACCGATTCGAGATAAATAATTTAATGCATTCTTTTTTAAATTTATATTATTATAACGTTAAATCGATTTGAATTATTAAGATACAACGACGTAAGTTTGGAAATTTAAAAAATTTATATCCGTAAATTTCGACTCTTGTAATTATCGTTCATCTTACTTATCATAAAATGTCGAGAAATTGTACAAAAATCTTTTGTAAGAAAAAAAAAAAAAAAAGAAAAGAAAGAAACTATTATTTATCGGTACAAAATAAACTTACCTCATTACGATTCTAAGCCGAACACGTATCCCGTAATATCTCGTATCCCGTATTTAATTGATTTACATATTTCCTATCGACAAACTAATAAACTATGTAATTAAACTGTGTCTATATGCGGACCGTATCTAATTCCGACTTGACATTTGAAAATATTTGCCGAGTTCCCGTAAAACGACTCGGGACACTAAACTAAAGCAAATCGGCCGTTAATCCCGGCCCTGTAATCAGCGCGCTCGACGTTAGTTAGTGGAAGCAATGCATAATCGAAAGTGTGGAAAAAGAGAAACGTTTGGAGGCGTCGTGGTTGGAGGGGTCTGGGTCACAGCGCGGGCCGGTCGAACGCTAACGATCCACGGCACGCCGATAGATTTTCGTCCCGACCGATTTTTATCCTCCTCGAGCCTCCTCGAGCGGAGGCAAAGCGAGAATTCCGCAAAACAAGGTTTCGCGAGAGAACAGGTCTCCTCGTTGTGCTCACGGCTCTTACGTGCTTTCTAATGTAAAGTATGCGCCCGGCTAATGGCTCGGAGAGGAGAACAGATATTGCATCGGGACGCCGGAGCCGTGGTAAGGTGCCACGGCAGGCAATTAATTCCTCCGGCAGACTTCCGTATCGGAAAGAGATAAACGTTGGACGCTCTCGGTCGAGACCCTAGGATCGTATATTATGCCGCTGGTTTTGCGAAGAGACTTTTTCCAAGCCGATCCAACGCCGGCCGTGTGTTCAGCTCTGTGAGAGCTTCGTGGCAAGTTCGAGCTCCGTGAAGGAAGAAGCCGCGGAGTTACGCGTCCTCCTCCTCCTCGTTGTCCGTTCGTGCTGCTCTCCGGCCCTCCGTGTTCTGTCCTTTCCCTCTTCGACAACGTATACGAACGTGTCGGGATGGTACGCTTGCAGAACGAGTGGACTGGCGCCAAGTAGATGTCGCCACTACCTATTTGGCCACACAAGGACGCGATGTACACGCACGCGAGCTGCCCCGGCCGTGTCCCGTACCCCCTATTCCCAACTCCCCTTTAATCGGATGCCTTAGATTCCATTCGGCTAATTAACCGAGCGTTATGCTAAATCTCGCTAAATTTAACTCGAGGATCGGTGCGCGGGAACCTGCACCCATTAATTGCACACGACCTATTCTAAACGGAGACACGTCGCTGTTGAAAAATCTAGGGAACTCTTCAGAAATCGTACCGACGCCGTAATTACCGCCGTAATGTCTTAGTTGTCGCGGCGATCTGAATCACCGATCGTTCCAGCTATGCCTCGAAACGTCGTGCGACGAACAAGTACGTGAATCGATTGAACAAAGTGACGCGGGAAAGTTGTATGAAAAATATTGCGAGAGTATATATATATATAATATATATATATATAATATATAGCACAGAAACGATATTGATGACAATATGGAAGAAAATAACGAGAATTATCTTTCGAAATCTTTGCGTATGTGTGAGTGTTCTCCGTGAAAATCAATGTTTAATATTAATACGTGTATACGTGCCGCCATTCTTAGATGACTCGTTAATTTCAAATGTTAGAAATAATGTATTCGAGTCATGTTTACCCAATATACAATTTCAAATGGTAGAATAGAGAATAAAGTAAAATAAGGAAATAGACATCTTTATTGAAATAGCATACATTACGTTTGCAAACGATGATGATGATTCACCTTTGTAACAAGAAATTATTTCATCTATTTCAACGTCACGTCGCAATAACGCATGCGCTATAATTTCGAATTTTACCGCTAGAGAGTTCGGCGCGCGTCACTTGTCAGTTAGTGAACTAATATGGCTGCGTTTTAGTGGTTGCCGCGAGTGTCCGGTCAAAAAAGTTTCGTTTTTTCCATAAATAGTTCTTGTGACGTGCTAAATAACGTGTACGTAGTGACCGAATCAAAGTTACATTCGTACGTTAATAAAATTCGTACGATTCGTTCACGTGAAAGTTATTATTCGTCGTTTATCGATTGCATTCCGAAATGATCTCCGAAGTAGCTAGGGTGAACAATCATCTCAAGGCGCATGCGCGGCACCATGTTCACTGAGTCAGGCACATGCTGTTTACGAACGACGACTGCGAACATTTACAAGAGATTTTCACCGATCAACGACGCTGGTTCGGCACCGGTAAGTTCTCATATTCTTTTACTTTCGAATGAACGATCGTTTTAGACGTTCCATCAGATAATAAGACCGCGGGTTAGTTCTTCTGAAACGCTAACAAAGAAATCAATGGTAAAGAAATATCGTATCGTCTATATTGACGAGCTGACACGTACGACAGTAGAATGCAACGATTGTCTCTAAGGCGAGTGTGAGCCGGCTTTCTCGGCACCGACTTTAACATAATTCAAGTGCTCCGGACAAAAGTCAAGGCGAATCGTGGAACGTTGGCATTCAGGGACGGCGCGTATCTTTACCCAAGGGGGAAAACGTTTTCGCGCCGACATCGCGATAGACTCTCTACTCGAGATTGTGCGATAAACGGCGCGAAGAGAGGCTCGCACGCGTCGATGAATTAGAGAATCGGCGCGGATTCGACGTGGAATGTTGTCGAATCGAATGTCGACTGTCGTTTGGCCGTGTATACGAAAATTTTTAAAACTCGCAGTAATGGTCAGGTTTGTGATTAACGAGTTCCATACCGCGACGTATTTTTCAGTGGCAGTCAGTCCTGTTTCGCCATTATGTAACGGGAACGGTGTGCCAACGGTCGCGTGGTGGGGAGGGAAGAGGGGGGGGGAAACGACGCGAAACGCTGCGCGCGCGGTCGAATTATCGCGCCTCACTATTCGTTGTATATTACTAGATGCGGAGATAAGGGAACGCGCGTTAAATGTTTCATTACCGGCCGGGCTCGCGCAACGTATGCCGGGATTGAATGTCCGGGACATTGATACAACTTATAGCGCAGATTTCAAGCAATATGCGTGTGCATACGAGCGAGCTAGCGACTTGTCGGTGCACCGTGATTCTGTCTTCTTAATAAGCGTGAAAGTTTAGTGTAACCCTTAACTGGCGAGGTGTATTTAACGGGAAAATTGCGGTTTTCGATTCTGACACGTTCTCCCAGACAGGGGGGACGGCTACATCCTGATGCTAAATGAGGTTTGTTGGTTACTTATTAAAGCAAACGTCAGTGTGAAAAATGACGTCGAGTGAGTAAGTGCAACTCGACGAAATCGTTTATTGTAGCTCAAGGGTCGAGTACATATATATATATTTCGTTGCATTTAAAATGATTAGATTTAGATTAGTTTAGTATTGGCATCTTGAAAATTGGGTATATCGTAGAAACATCTTCAAGAGTTATAGGCAATCAAAAGAATATGTTTGAATTTAATGAAGCGTCAATATTGTAAACTTATTTGAATCAACGATATTTTTGCCATATATTTTTTGCCACTATAGCAAAGAAATAGATATGATAATTTTAATAACATTTTATGTGTAGTAATATAAATGTTAATATAATATATTATTTTTTTTTAATTAATTTATGCGTCTCGTATACATTAAGTAATACATTAAGATACACAAGAAGGAAAGTAAAAAAGGAATCAAAGAAAAATGTTTTCTAAGATGGAAAACATTCTAGAAATATTGAAATATTCCAATGAATTTTGAAACTAGGAGAATCATAGATATAAGCACGTTACTCAAAACACGAAAATAGTGATAAAATCCTTTCAACAGTAAAACGAATTATAAACTTCATAATTTCCTCGCGTATATACTATAACGTGCACGCACAAGAAAATTCATTTCCAATGCTTATCGGCGATCAAAGAAGAAAAAAAAAAAAAATACAATTCCCCATTAATTCATTTCATTTGCCTGTCGACCAACCTCCTCCCTTCCTCTTCGTCCACTGTTGTGAAAATAGGAATCAAATCTCGTCCTATAACTCGTTGCAGCGTTAACAATCCGGCATTGCATAAGTACAATAATAAACACCTGTAATCGGCGTGAAACCGGTTCTTTAAAAACAGTTCAACGTTGCAACAGTGTAAAAACCGGCGGACAGGCGTTTCACGCGGTCGCGGTTAAACCCGTTGGAGGAACGATCCCGTGGCGCGATGGTATATTTCGCTTTGTCTTATCCCGCCGGGGTGTAGGGTGTAAAATGCGTGTGGAATACGTGCCAAGACAAGGGTCACCGATACACCTGCCCCGGAGCTTCTAGAGCGCGATAATATAGGATTCTGATCCGACAACTGCGACCGGTATCTTCTTCTCTCTCTCTCTCTCTCTCTCCCTCCTCCCCCTGTTCGCGCTCGTTCTCTCAACCCATCCAGAGAACATAATGCCGTGTAGAGCAGCCGCTCATAACGCCCGGCGTACCTGTTGAGATATAGCCCGGCTAGTGTTTCAATCGCTAGGCCACGGAACGTCGACAATGATACGTAAGTACGCGCTCGGCCGTATATACCACGTATGCAAAACGTATTACAATATTGGATAGCCGGACCATGCATCACGATAGTCGAAATAAATCAACCGCGAACAAGCACAGACGTGGCCGGCGGAGTCTTAAATAATTTACTAATTTTTCAATGGGCCGACCCTAAAGGTCGAGAGCCCGCGCCGGCCGTATACCGCGTAAATCCCTTTGGCTATGCCTCTCCCGGCGAGCCCTTGCTTGCGCGCCTCGAGTTCAATCCCAACAACCCGTGGAGGAAGCCTCTCTACGAACGAATATATATATATATATATACACCTCTCTTGGTTGTATACCTGGTCCATCGGAAACCGAGGGAAATCGCGCGTACCGGTTGAAAAAAAAACTCGAGTCTTCGAGTCGCGTATCCCATGCGTGGTGTACTTACGAGGCAGCGATAAAGAGAGGCCCAACCTGTATCCAACCTTCTATCTATCTCGCTAGGGGCCGCGAAATGCTTCCGCAAAGGGACCAACAAAAACTCTTCGCTCTCCCCGAGTTCGCCGTGTGGCATTACGACATAATGTAAACATCGAAACGAGGGAAAAATCTTTACTTATTACCTTCCACGCGTTTTCCTGGCCCAGGGTCACGGCTGGCATCCATTTCCAAGAGGAGGTAAGCGACATTAGGTGAATTCGTTCCTCCGGATGGTTTATCGTCCCCTCTTCCCTCTCGCGCGTATACCAGGGAGGCATTTCGAATCGCCGGCTGGCAGCGATGCGCGAGATCTTCTACAAAAGCATCGTCGTGGCCGGACAATGCCACTTGATCCCTCAGCCAGTGGCTCTGCGTCTATTTCCCCACCTACACGTGTTCCTTTTTGTTCCATCCCCATCTCTCGTTTCGTCTTTGTCCCCCTCCCCTTCTTCCAAACCATATATATATATATATATCTCCCCCCGTCCTCTCTCTCTCTCTCTCTCTCTCACCCGTTATAATGGGCAAACACATAATAAAGAGGGTAAGCGCGGAACGCGTACGCGATATGTGGGGCGTTTAACAATGGAGCACACCTGAGCACGGGCCGGTGCGTTTGAGATGGCTTTAGGGAGGCGGAGAAAGAGAGAGAGAGAGCGAAGATACCGCACGGTGCATCGGTATGAAATGTGGTGGGACGAAAAACGAGGGACTCACTCACTGTACGAAGCGGAGGGACGCGGAACAATGCTTTCAACCTCTTCTTCTTCTTCTTGTCGTCGTCGTCGTCCTCGTCGCCGTCGTCGTCGTCGTCGTCGTCTTCTTCTTCGTCGTCTTCTTCTTCTTCTTCTTGGCGGTGGTGCCCCTTTTCCTCCGGCATCTCCTCGCCGCCGAGGCAGGGTGCCGGCACGATGCTCTCCCATTTGTTCGCGAAACACCGAACACAGGCAGTCACCTCGTACGCACGTCGTCGTAGCGCAGCTTGGCATTGTCCGCCACGCTCCCCCTCGACTGTGTGCGCGTGTGTGCGTCACGTATCTCTTTCAACTGCACCGGCTTAGCCGGTGCGCTGGAAAACTGCCACCTTCGAGTGTCCAGTGTCCGGTGTAGTCTCCCTTCGTTTTTCTTTCTTTTTTTTTTTCCAACGTCGATTCTTCCCTTCCGTTCCGTTCCGTTTTTTTTTTTTTTCATTTTGTCGATGTTTCGCGTGTTTGTAATATTATAAAGAGGAGAACTAGAGTTGTATGTAGAAATAAGAGAACGAACGAGCGATTCAAGATAATGGAATTAATGGGAGGGAGAAATGATCAAGATGGATTAACGTTACGTCGAAAACAGAGCGGAGTATAATTATTATAAATGTAATCAATTTATTAATTATTTATACTTTTATTAATATATTCTGAAATGAAACGATGGATGTCGGTATAAGTGATTTCTTTTTCTTTCTTTCTTTTTTTTCCAACTTCAATTCCAAGGAATTGTAAATAACAAAATATATCACGCAATGGAAATATGAATATTAAAAGGGAGATTAAGAAATATTGGTTTACGAATGATATATTTGTTCGAATTGCTAATAATTGTATACATTTTAGTTATATGTTTACTCGTATCACAGAAAGAGACGTAAATTATTATTATTAATTCATCGAATTATCATATTATATATGTTTATCAAAGCGGCAGAACAACACAAAAAGCAATATTATGAATTTATAATAAAAAGAAAGAAAAAAAAAAATATGAAAAAAAGTAAAATAATCGTGTGACTGTCGTTACTCGTTGTTCGTGACATATTAAGTAATGACATTTTTGATTAGAAAGATCATAAATTATCGCGGAGAGAAGATGATTTATGATTTATATGTATTGAAAAATATTGTTTAAATTAATTTAAAAATCTCACGTATTGTAATAGAAGAATTCGCGAATTTAAAAGAAGATTTTCTCGATATTAGATTTCTCATTGCATAACGACAAATATTTATAACATTTGTAGCACTTTTATTCCAGCAAAAAAGTCATTTAAATATTAACTTGTTTATCAAATAATGTTTTTCGATTTCTAAAAGAACTTTTATCTCGCTAATAACTAATAATAATAATATCAATATTATATATTTTATTACACTTCTTCGATCGATAAATAATAAATAATCATCAGAAATCGATGGTTAATAATATATTTCTAAACTATCACGAACTGGAACACAAATAGCTTAAATTCAATTCGAAAAATTGAAATCGGAAATCGAATGGAAAT